TAAACGGCGTTTCCGTGTGCAGCTCTGGCTCGCCAGATGCAGCTTGTCACGCTGGTCACATGACCCGGAAGTGTCTTCGGACAGCGCTGGCCCCCAGCCTCTTAAGCGAGATGGGCGCACAACCCCAGAGTCGGACATGACTGGCCCGTACGGGCAGGGGTACCTTTACCTTTACCTTTATTGTTTTTGTTATTATGGTGTGTATTTTTGTGTTTTTATGCTGTAAACCGCCCTGTGATTTTCACAGAAAGGAGGTATAGACATTAAATAAATAAATAAACATACAAACAAACAAATAATTTTGTGAAACGAGATTCTAACATATAAACATGAAACAAATTGGGTTTTCAGTAATGAATGTAATCCCAAATTGAAAAAATAATAATCTTGCACACCCTTAACTTTCTGTGTTTATATGTTATTGTAGTAGTAATATGAGATTTCAATGCGAATTGTGTTTATTCATATAGCAGAGTTGAACAGCAACTGGGTTACCTACCTGACAGAAGAACCCGGAGGCTAAGTCACCAGCAGGTAGCTGAAAAATGCCATGGATTTTCTCAAGCTGGGTATTTGGTTTTTGCAAAACTCCTCCTTAGCTGAATAAACTTTCCCTGTGACAAACTTTGTGGTCTCTTCAGCTTGAGCAGTTAACTCTAAATGTTTTGTGCAACATCTCTATCTAGTGACAGACAGAAGCAATTGCATCTTCTTTACATCCTCCCCCCCCCCCCCGATTTACCACCTGGTGACTTGGATCATCTTGAACCAGGGGGTGAAGTGAGAAAGTGTGTGTCAATAAAACTGCACATAACTTTTCTCCTGGAAATGCTTTGTTCAGATCAAATGAAAAGCAGCAGTTTTTCAGCAAGCCCATCTGGCGGGGGCATAATTTCTAGATACAAGAAATGGAGATTTGTTTCAACAAAACCTTTTAAAGTCTTGTGGAGATTTGTGTGCCTTGAAAAATACCAAAATCGAGCTGTTTGGGGCAGAATCTACAACCAGAGAAAGATTAGCATGTTTTTCTGTACTCCTGTGCTCTGGTAGCCAGGGGTCTGCGTGTTTCATTTCAGGTATGGGATAAATCTGAGTTGCAGCCTGAAACCTGATTGTCCCACCACCCTGGGCAGCTTCCAACATATATAATAACATAATTAAACATTAAAAAACTCCCCTATACAGGGCTGCCTTCAGATTTCTTCTAAAGGTTCCATAGTTACTTATCTCCTTGGCTGTGTGTGTATGTGTGTCACATAACTCCATAGCCGTCAACATTTCTCTGATGAAAATAGGAAAGTCCTAA